CAGAGACGTTTGGCGAGGTGCTTTCAGGGGGAATCCTGTCCTGGTTTCTTGCCTGTTTCCCAGTGTTGGGGGATGGGCCCTGAGTGCAAGGCACTGGTTTCGGGACCAGGCTCTGGCGGGTGCTCCCAGCTGACCCTGGACAGGGCCCTGCCCCTCTCCGGGCCTCTGGTTTTCCATCCAGAGTTGGCTGGAGCCGATAACCTCAGAGTCTTCTCTCAGCTCTGATGGTTTTACATTTTAAATGTATTGGGCACTTCCCCTAAATACCCTCTTCATGCTCGTTCCACTTGGATTCTCTGGCTGATATGGGGAAATATGAGGAAAAAGTGTTGAGTGGGCCTGTCTTGGGTTTGTCTTAATGGTGTGCAGTTGCGGTAGTCACGCTGCATGCACCAGAAACTGTCACTGGAGGTGACCAGCACTTCCCTTGACTGGGGTGGGGGTGGGGGGGTTGAGGGAGCCGGAGGAGGGAGTGTTCTGGGGGACAGCAGAGCCCAGCCTTGTGGGAAGCAGCCCGTGCCTGGGAGGCCTCCCCGCCTTCCCCTGCAGAGCCCTCTCAGGTTTGTTCCCTGCCCCCGACGGCCCCTCCCTGCCTGGACCAGCCCCTCTGTGAGGGACAGCTCTGCTGCGGGGAGGCCAGGGCCAGCAGGACTTGGTCTTCCCTTGGGCAGGGGAGGGGGCTTTTCCGAGGATGGCACAGACACGCTTTCAGGGAAATACTGTCACCCATGGCCAGGTGCAGGGATGACGGCGGCTACTTCAAAACCCCTTCATCCTGCCACAGACACCCAGATCCTTGCCTTCTAGAAGGTTCTCAGTAGCAAAGGCGGTTCTGTGAAAGAGATGAACCTCATCAGGCTGGTCCTCCCAGGGAGGGGCCGGCCTGCGAGGCTGATGGAGAATTAAAAAGCCCTGCGAGGTCCCGACTTAAAAAGAAGACGTTCTCACAGGGGTTTGTCTGTGTTGGAGGCGACACGTGGATTTATTTGAGGCTGGCGGGTACTCATTTCCTCTCTAGCTTTGGCCCAGCTTGAGGTCCCTTTCCGAGCTGGTGTCTAAGGTGGCAACAACCTGGGGGCTGGAGGCAGCTAATGAATTTCGGAGGCAGCTTCTCACCCCCAAACTGTTTTTCTTCCTCCTCAGCCTCCCACATGATTAGAAAAATAATGAAATGGAAACAGAATAGCGAAGAGACGAGACTAGTTAGTGCCTGTACATATTTGTCAAGCGTTTCACTGTCCCATTGTTACTGCTGTGTTCAGTGGTTCCCCCCAAGAAAATACGAGTGCTGGGCACACGGCCTTGCGTGGCCGTGATGATGGGAGAGACTGGTCCCTGCCCTGGAGCAGCTCAAGGTCACGCTGGGAAGGGAAGGAAATAGATTGTGAAAGTGTCTGCTTAAGGAACTGAGCCTGGGCCCTGGCAGGTGCTCCAGTTGGAGGGGTGGGCTGGGAGTCAAGCCAGACCAAGGACTTCGCACTCGTGGAGAGCTGGGTCAGGCCTGGAGCGCGGGCCGGCCGTGGCCAGGCCATTGGTTTGGGAAGCTCACACTCAGAACTAGAGATGGGGGCACTAGTCAGGCTGTGACAGTGCCAGGCAGGCGCTGATGTGGCCTGAACAAAGAGATGAGAAAAGAAGGGATGAGAAGCTTTCAGGAAGACCACAGCAAGGCAGAGCCGGAGGCAGGACACAGTGCAGGGGCTCTGAGCGCGTGGCGGTGGGGGCCCTGGGAAAGGGGGCCTCAGGACGGAAGGGGAAGGGCCCGTTTTATCTTGGAGCTTTGCCAAGAGTTAAGAGCCAACTGTGATGTTACAGGGAACAGTCCCCAAGCCCGCTCTCCCTTCTGACACCATCTGCAAGTTGGGGAGGCGTCCCCCAAGTCAGTCTCAGGTGCAGTAATTCACTAGAAGGAATCACAGAACACACGGATAGCAACTACACTCGGGGTCAGGACTTACAACAGGGAAAGGGCGCAGCTGGGAATCAGCCGAGGGAAGCAGTGCACGTGGCAATACACTTGGAATATTCCCGCCCAGGGAAGCTCACCCAGGCCGCCGGTGTCTGGAGTGTTTCTTGGGGCTCAATCAGCTACTGGCTGCCTGGGCTGCCCTTTACTGTCCAGTCCTCCTGGAGGTCAGGCTGGTACTGCATGGCCCAGAGTAACTCACACTGTTTGACTGTCCAGTGGCCAGACTCCTTGGGCAGGCAAGACACTGTTGTCAAGCAGGACATTCCAGGTGGCCTAGAGGTCACCTCCCAGGAGCTGGGGACGAAGGCCAGACCTCTCTGTGGGTGTGGGTAAGTCTTCACCACACAAGCTCGCAGTTTGACATGAGAGAAGGAGCCTGGAGAACATGAGGACGCCCAACACGTAGGTGAGGGGAGCGGCTTCATACAACGCTGCTTGTATTCGCATGTGCACACACACTCAAGGTCACGGACATCCGTGTGGCGCCAGGCACTGGCGGTTCCCTTTTGTGGCTTTTTGCTAGGGCATTTGTAGCTGTTTCTCACGGCTGTTGGGCGCTGGGCGTAGGCGCAGAGGCAGCCAGGATATTGTGCAAAGACCATTGGCACCGTAGGTGGGTGTAACCCTGGCCTCTCCCTTCACCTGAGCCCTCACTGTGAAGTGTCATGGAGCTACCTGCAGGGTTGTCCTGAGGATGAGTGGGACCCTGAGTGTGGGACTCCTTTGTAGGGGTTCATGGAGAAGGAAGAATGCACAGCATTTAAAATCCAACTTCTGGAGGAGGCTATTCGCGAGGACACCACTTCAGTGTTGGTTTATAATGATGTGCCGTGACGCTTTCGGAAAAGTGCCTTAAGGTATTGGAGGAATTGCTTCTGAAATAACGCCTTCCTTCTTCTTTGGTCCTAGGTGAGGCTCCAGGTCGGGCTGTACGCTGTGTATCTCCTGGACTGGCTCACTGTTTTTAATAAAGAACAGTTCCTCATTCTTCGCCTGGAAGACCACGCCTCCAACGTCAAGTACACCATGCGCAGAGTCTTCCAGTTTCTCAACCTCGGTATGAATGTCTCGCTGGAGACCCACAGAGCAGGGCTCGAGCTGCGGGGACGCTGAGTCACTCGCAGACTCCCTGAGCTGGGGAGGGTGGGGCCGAGCTGGGAGGCCGGTTCAGTGCCTATTTGTCAAGACCAGCTGCGCACAGGGCCTCGTGCACGGTGTGACAAGGAGTCTGGGGGAGGAAGACAGAGCCTCTCGTCTGGGAGTGGAGGAAGCCAAGGCTTGAAGAACTGAGTAACCGATAGAATGACGTGCGGGGAAGTTAGCGTCCTCACGGGAGGTCCATACACACGACTTCGGGTCTCAGCTGCTGAAGGAATTGTGGAAGGAAGGGTGTGAGCTCTGCCTTGAGGATGGAAAGGGTGTCTGGGCAGCTGGAACAGTTTTGCAGAGACCACAGGGCCTGGAGGAGGGGATGGACAGGTCAGTGCTTTGCTGGGGACCTTTGGAGACAGAGCCGTGTGGCTGGATTTGGGCTGCTGGTTGTGGCTCCGGGGCCTCTGGGGAGGGGGAGCCTGCCCCCAGCCAGAGGATGCCACCCCCAAGTCCCGAGTGGTACTTTGTGGCCACAGGCCGAGTTGCTGGCTGCGGTGATGGCTGGTGGAGGTGTGCGTTCAGGTGCAGGGTGCGGCCCCGCGGTCGGCACCTGGGACGGCTTGCGAGGCTGAAGCCGGATTTGCTTTCCTCCCGGGGCGCCTCTTGCCGCCCTGCCTGATGATCGCGCCTGGGGATTTTGTTAATTGAATATTTCCTGAAATCTATTTGCTCACCACTAGGAATCAGGACCCTTTTGTCATTTGATTTTCTTTCTCCTTTTCTTGGAGAGCTGGCAATGTGATGGAGTATGATTACTTTTGCCTTTTAAAGCTGAGAACCATTTTTCTTTGATTTGGCCACTGTAGATGCTGTGGCATTAATGAGCTTGTCTGTAGTCTCTAGGATGAACAGTAAGGCCAGCTCTGTCCTATTTCACAGAACCCAAGGAAACTGGGATATAGTTTTACAGGACTTTAGCCTGACTCTGGGGGCCCTAGGCAAAGAGGCAGCGATCCTGTGGGTTGAGCCAATGAGAGGCTCGTGGTCGTGAGGGCTAGGGTGGGGGTGGCACGTAGCCTCTCCCAGGCCTCTCCCCACTGATCTTCCTGCTGTAGGTGGAGGTTAAGCCAGTGGTGAACTCCCCACCCGCAGGCCACCTCACAGCACAACACGGTGAAATATGGCCCCGCATCGGGACCCTTTGCATCAGTAGCCCACAGCAGAAATGGCAGAATTCTAGTGGGCTGGTTAGCAGGAAAAATCTAAGTGGGTGGACTATCTGGCAGGTCGCACGGTTATCCAAGGACAGGCTGGCCCCCTTTACGGGCAGTTGGAAGTGAAACCAGGAGGTGAGAGGCACGGGTGGGGCTGCGTCCCAAGTCCCAGCTGTGCTCCCAAGGGTGGATGTAAAACCCCGGGCCCCAGGAGCTCTGCCATTTCTTACTGGAATTTCTACCTTCCACCCTCAGCAACTCCGAAATGGTTCCAGCCAAAGAATTTTGATCTCTGAACACATTCTTCAGGAAGCTTCTGTCTCAGCAGAAAGCATGGCTGGGATTTTCTGAAAGTTTCTTTTGCCTCCTGCCTCATGGGGTCTTTTTTTCGTATTCCAGGGCCCTTAAGTGAGAAGCAAGAGGCCTTGATGACCAAGAGCCCTGCGTCCAACGCGCGGCGTCCGGAGGACCGGAGCCTGGGGCCCATGTGGCCGGTCACACAGAGGATCCTGCAGGACTTCTACGGGCCCTTCAACACGCGGCTGGCGCGGGTTCTCGCCGACGAGGCGTTCTTGTGGAAGAAGACGTGAGGGCCGAGGGCTCGCTGCCGGCTCAGGCCGGGTTTCCGTTATTTCCATGATTTGAAATCTCTCTTGGTGGGGATCCTTTTTGCTAAGAGATTGGAGAAATCCCCTCCCCAGGCACCTGCGTATGGAAACCGTTTCAAAATCTCGTTTGTGATGTTAAACAGCCCAGCAATGGTCCCTTCACCGAGTCTCAGATGGAGGCTGTTGGAGATTCCACTCGGGAAAGGGTCCCCTTCTGCTCCAAGAGAGACTGAGCTCCGGGATGAGGCCGGCAGGCACTGGGCTCGGTGCCGAGAGGGAAGCACCGAGTCTGGGATCCACTGGAGGCCCCACCCTGGGGCTGGCCAGGATGAACTTTTCACACTGAGTTTTGAAACCCTCTGTGCAGATCACTAACCTCATTTGGGCAGAGAATGGAAGCTCTTTTATTTTTTTTTTCCCTTTTACCCCAAAGTCAGCCCTTCCGTCTCTTCAAATATAAACCCTGTTAACTTCACTCTTTAACGAGGGAGAAAGACCCAAGTCAGTTTTTGGCAGCACGTTCGTGTCTTGGTTGGACCTCCTCCCCGTCTGTCCTTGTGGACTTGACTTACGTTTAACAGAAGATGAGCGTGTTTGAAACAGACCACTTTCTGCGTTTCAGTAGCTAGAGCTCTCTTTTCTGCCCCTTTAGGTGTTTTCTCAAAAGTTTTTTCAGTTTATAATTGGAATATAAATTCAGTTTAAAATTGGAAGGGAAATTTTTGCTGTTAATGCCAGACTGAGCAACTTGGAGTTGATGGGAAATCTGGGCACCATCCAGGTGCCACGCACCCGAGGCCCTCAGAGACTGAGGGCTTCGGAAGTTTTAGTTGTGGGTGCAGCAGGTTGTTTGCTCTGCCTTCTTCCCAAACGAGCTTATTACCCACATTCTCCACCATGTGTGGCCGGAGGTCGTTCCTCACTCCATGAACTACAAGATTCTGGTTTCCTGATTCAGAAACACATAAGCTATGTATGCTTGGGTGTGCTGGGATTCGGAAGGAGAACGCCAGGAGCTGTGTTCTTGACGGAACTTTCTGGGCCACTTGGCTGCTTGGTTTACTGACGGACAGGCCAAAGGCCTTGCCATTTCCTGGAGACGGTGGGAAAGCGTGAACACATTCCTCACACACAGGCCCAGGCGGGACCCCCACCAAGCTTCGCGTGCAAGCGTTGTCAAGGGAAGCTTCCTGCCAGTCAGAGCGCTCAAGTGGAGATCCCGGCGGTGCACCAGTCAGACAGCGCCAATGCCTACATGCCCAGCCGCCGCCGCTCATGGGCGTGAGGGTTTGCTCAGCTGTCCGGCCCCGGCGCCGTGGTCTTTCCGCTGTCAGAGGTGCGATGCTCGGCCTGTTCAACAGCGAGCGGAGGGCTCTCCCTGGCACGGCCGGGCTGTTTCTGCTTCTGATGGAGCCGTGGTCCTGAACACCTGCTTTCAGGGACAGTCCGCCTTCCCTCCCGCTGTGGCACTCGGAGCAGCAGCCAGCAGGGAACCCTGGCCTGAGCACGAGGTGCTGGGGGGAGGCATCGCTTGCGCGTGCGTGTGTATTTATTTGCAGGGCGGGTGCGTGTGTCGACGCGAGGGAGCAATTCCAAGCAGGCCCCTTCGGTTCTGTTGCTGGCGGCCTCCCCCGCTCGGGACACAGCCCCTTCCTGGATTTACTTCCCTGCCAATTAGCTAGTCACCTGCAGCCCGTGCTTGCTCCTCCGCCCCGACCGTAACTACAACCGGGGCTCTTCCCGCGCACTCCTAGGCATGTGAACAACATGCGGCGTCATTCTGCTTCTTACAGAAGTAATACTGAAAGTCGTATTTCCAATATTATTTGGTTTATTTTACAAATCTTTTTATAGACGCAGGCCCATCCCTCGGTGCCAGTCAGCGCCATGCAGACCCGGTTTCTCCGGGGGCCTTTCTCCAAAGGGCTGTCTGTCTGTCTGTCTGTGTGTCGCCTTTGCGTTCCTCCGCTCTCCCATTCGAGGCCCCACTCCCAGTGACGGCGCAGCTGCCGTTTCCAGCGGGCGACCTCCAGCCTGTCGTCCCAAACCAAAGCGAAATGAAGCATTTCTCACAACCCGGTACTGAAGTTCCTTTGTGTCCCCAAAGCTGTGTATCGGATTGTATTAAATTGTACTCCCTTAGTCGTGTAAGGTATGTTAAGTGAACCACAGTTATGCTGTACTTTTATTAATATTTAACATAATTAAATGTGGACCCCTGTGACCGGGACCCCAGAGTGCACGCTCTTCCTCATAAGCCGCCGCGGCTCCCGTGGAAGGCTCTCCCTCGGGTCTCTTGTGCTCGAATGAACCACAGTAGTTCTGTGTCTTACCTGCCAGCATTGCACACTCTACCAGGGGGCCTGCCACTCATGGTGATGGTGAGACAGAAGATGGGAGGGGAGGGTTCCCATGTTACCAGAGACGCCCGCCTGGGGCTGCTGGGGTGTGAGGGCAGCGAGGCCCCTGCCCACAGACGGGCCTAACGTTGTCTTCAGACATTTAGATTTGAAGGTCGGGTGACGCAGTCCTGCTGCTCCCGATAGGCTGCTGTCACGTAACTGCTTCCCTCATTTACATGGCTGCCTGGCCCCTGGGGGCTGGGAGTGTGAGAGCCTGGGTGTTACTGGGTGCACGTCATCATCACTGGACACTCAGGACCCCTGGATGCAGCTAGACCAAGCCTGGGGGAGATGTGCCGTCTCAAGCTAGGGGTTCTGGAAGCCTTAGTCATCCTGGGCACAGGGTGGAGCCTGAGTTGGTCCCACAATTCTGGAAAGACCCACCCTGGGTGCGCCTCTCCCCAGCACTACCCTTCACAGTGGTGTTGGGGGAAGAGGGGCTGGCGAGTCCAGACCTGGAAATGAGGAGGACCCCTTCTTGATGGCAAAGCCAGGGACAGCTCCGCTTAGCAGAGAAAACGCTGTGCCTGTGAGGAGGTGGGGGGGCAGCACAGACAGGCAAACCTGGAGGGCTGATCACACAGCTCCTTCCCCTGGGGGCCTTTCCAGACCCCTCTCTGCCTTGCGGCCACCTCTCGCCCACGCAGGCACCAGCTCTTGGGGAACATTCTAATGAGGATCAGCTATGTTAGAAGCCTCCCCTTGGATTGACTCTATTTGGCAACTGACACAAAGGCCGGGCTTCTGGCGGAGGAATTTCAGGCCTCATCCAGCAGGGAGAGAGGTATCGTGTGTGGGTGGGTGTTTTTCTGTTGCTCCAGAATCCTCACCCTGTGGGCAGATCCTGTTGTGACTCGTAGGACGACATCACTCCCCCACAGCGTCACCCGGCAGGCCTCCCTGCAGAGCCGCCCGGAGAGAACGGGTCCCGCGGGGAGACGGCTGCAGCAGCAGTGGGGGCAGCCGGCCACAGGCCCCGGGGGGCTGCATTCACATCCCTCGGCCACTGTAGCAAGTTAGCCAAACTGAGCGGCTGAAGCCAACTCCGGTGCATCACGTCAGTCTGCAGGTCAGAAATCCAAACTCAGTCTCACTGAGCGAAACAGGATGTGGGCAGGCCTGGTCCCCTCTGGAGGCTCTAGGGGAGAATCCGTCTCCTTGCCTTTCCCAGCTGCTGGAGGCTGCCACACTCTTGGCTTGTGGCCCCTTCCTCCATCTTCAGACTCTCTGACCCGCTTCCCTCTGACCCTCCCTCTCTGGCCTCTTGTAAGGACCCTCATGATCCCTCCAGGCCCCCAGGATGCTCCTGCAGGATCACCTCCCCATCGCAAGGTCACAGCTGCAAAGGCCCCTCTGCCGTGTAACGTAACATATTTATAGGTTCCAGGAATTAGGATGCAGACATTGTCGGGGGGCCATTATTCAGCCGGCAATAGAGGGGTGGGTCCAGTGAGCTGGATGGGCAGTCAAAGGATAGAGAGGGGGCCCACTGGCCTGTCCCTTTCGGCTGTGCCCTGAGAGGCCCAAGCAGGTCTGAGTGCTTACTGAGGGCCAGGCTCCCCGACATGTCCTTTCTGAGGTGCTGAGACTTTCTGTCCAGGCAGGACCCTGAGGCTGGAGTCAGTGGGACAGAGTGTATGACCAGCCACTCTTTCATACACTTGTCTCAGGTGAGCCAAGAGGTACCCCAGCCCCAGATAGGGCTCTTTCAACAGCTTTAGGTAGAAGTGATTTTTGAGTGCTTACAAAAAAAAA